CTAGATTATCATACCAGGGGTACATCATGCCCTAACAATAGAAAATTAGTTATACATAACCATAGGATTCGGCATAAGCAAAAACATAAGGAAGAAAAAATAAAACTTAGCCAATTGCGGTACTCTTCCGGCGTCTCCAATCTCTCCAAGTCTTTGCGTAACTCCAAAGGAGTTGTTTCTCATCCTTAATTAAAACACCACACGTCTATTCCGACCTTATCTGGGCTTTAAAGCCTTCCAAAAATAAAGAAAAACCTACTTTTAAAAAAAATTCCAAAATGGGTAAGGAATTGACTCCTCTTCCTACTTTGACTATGATAACACATTAGTTACTTTGCACACACGTTTGAGGTTTTTCCTCCTCCGCAAATTCGAGAAAAATATGTAAATTGTAGGTCATTGTCTTATCTTTCCAACCATATATCGCACACATTGAGGAAAAATCAGAAAAATCAGAAAAGTCTTCAAATAATCATTCTTCCACAACAACAAAGTTTTGACAGGATTGCAACTTATGCTAACTTAACTTCAAAGACTGCTCTCATTAGCTGCTCCGAAAATTCTAGAAAAATTCCACAATCATCTTCAAGATCTTAGCTTTCATCTCCAACTGGTCTTGTCAAAAACTCCACCAAAAAGTTGTATTTCCGTTGAAAACCAATTACTTGCTCTGGAAAGCTGAAAATTGAGAAAATAAAGTAATAGGTCCTTTTTAAATTCAATTCTCCTACAAAAACTAAGTCTGAAGAGTACATAAATGTATAAATTTATGGAATTATCAGTAACTAAAGGGGCTTCTCCCATTATGTATGTGGATATTGGAGTCAATTCAGATCATTGTGTGCTGTTTGAATTTAAGTGGCAAAATACATTTTACCTGACGTAATTTTTTTTGTAATTTCCTTCTTTGACATATGCACAAAACAAGAATTAATTATACGTGAGCAGACATTCATGAGTAACCTTCGTGGCTAAAAAGAGAAAAGAAATCGAGAACCATGTATGTTGTTGTGACCAGACATTGTAAATGTGTAAAGGCTCGGAATACTATTGTGTGTCGTGACCAGACATCCAGGTATCCTTTCCCACAGAAAAATAAAATAGAAAACATTGAAAAACATGTATGTTGTCGTGACCGATTTCGAGAACCTTCATTGCAATTTAAAACAAGTATTGAAAATCATGTCTTGTCGTATGTTGCATGTAATTTTGCGGCCATATTAGTCAATTGAGTAGTTAATTAACTATTTTATTGATGACTTGCTTACGAGTTTTTCAGGGATTTGTACAAATAAATACTTTTCTATTAATTTTATTGGTATCAATCAAGGATCAAATTTTTTGGTGGTTTTTTGACCCCAAAAATATATATATATATATATATATATATATTCCCGTAGTTATTGTTTGTTTTATTTTTTATAATCAAAGCCATATCATAATTTACTTAAAGGACAAAGCCAGGTAGTGGAAATTTTCCAATGATTTACATATGTTATTGTGATTTATAGGGATATTTATAGAAATGTCACCTAAACTTATACCTTAGTTTCAATTTGTCACCTTGAAATTTTTTTAAAGAGAAATGTCACCTGAATTTTTCAAAATTTATAATTTGTCATCTGACTTTAACATCATCCAATTTTTCATCCATAATTAAGGGTATTTTAGTCTTTTCATTTTTAAGGGTGGTTTAAAAATGAAAAAATCATTATACAAAATTGTATATATATTTTAAAATAAACCATTAAAAATCAAGATTCTTTCCTACCAAGCATTAAAAAATTTAAAATTGCTTTTTTTTTTTTTCCATCTGGGGGTGGGTTGCAAGTGGGGATGGGGTGCTCAGGTCTTGGGGGAGAAAAAAAAACAGAGGAGAGGGGAGTGGTGGTTGGGGAGGAAGGGAGAATAGAGAGAAACGACAGGGGGATGGAAAAAAAATGCAATTTTCAATTTTTTAATGTATGGTAGGAAAGAATCTTGATTTTTAATGGTTTATTTTAAAATATATATACAATTTTGTATAATGATTTTTCCATTTTTAAACCACCCTTAAAAATGAAAAGACTAAAATACCCTTAATCATGGATGAAAAATTGGATGATGTTAAAGTCAGATGACAAATTATAGATTCTAAAGAATTCAGGTGACATTTCTCTTCTTCTTTTTTTTTTTTTTTTTTTTTTTTTTTTTTGCCATTTTTAAACCACCCTTAAAAATGAAAAGACTAAAATACCCTTAATCATGGATGAAAAATTGGATGATGTTAAAGTCAGATGACAAATTATAGATTCTAAAGAATTCAGGTGACATTTCTCTTCTTCTTTTTTTTTTTTTTTTTTTTTTTTTTTAAGGGGAAATTTTAAATTAGG